TGCGCAGATTAGCGCCGGGAACATTAAAATTAACCCTCCCTCCTATTTAATTATTATATTATATTATTATTATAAAATTAAAAGTTTATTATTATATAAATGTACTAAATTATTTAGGCTTACATACAATTTTTAAATGCTTAAAATGTTAATATTTAAACTATTTTTTTGGTAGACTTTTTAATGCCATGATTTTCACATTATCATATCTAGAGATTTTAGAAGTTTTGTATTTTTGTATATTTTCTTCAATGAATTTAATATATTTTTCGTTGACTGATCTATTTTTTTTTAGGTATTTGATTAGAAGTTTGTATTAAAATTTTTGTGTCTATTTGAATTTCTTTTAATATTTCTAAGAAGAAATATATATCCGGATGAGGTGTGTAAAAGCATGAATTAAATTTAGAATGAAAGCTTTCACACGCATTTGTTGTTCGTTCACTGCTACTGCTCATTTCTGCCCATGTGTGAGGAGGGAAGTCTGACTGTGGATCAATATAGTTTTCTACGAAATAATCAATAAATGCGAACGCACATGGGATATACCAACATTTTTAGCGATATTATTGTGGACGCAGTTGGACTATTAAAAAGGTACGATATGATAAACGGGACGCACTCGGGAGTTGCCCCTGTAGCGTCTGGAGCAGAGCGAACGAATATTAAGCAGTAACCATAACAATATAGGTATAGTATGGTAATACCGCACGATAATATACCGCAGTCTGTAACAACAATAGTGATTAAAATCGTGGAATCAGTATTACCGCGTTTACCTGCAGTCGGTCGTGATAATATAGAATCACAATACTGTATATTAAACGATTGGCGGCGGTGGTACCGTACAGGTATTATTGCACGTATACATTACTGGTGAGTGGTGTTGGTTCGTGTTCAAATAGAATATTATGTTTTTTTCTTAAACCACGAGAAAAGAAATAAACGCCTAGTTTGTGCTGCCAAGTCGGCCATGACCGAATGTCGAGAGAAATAAACATAATACGCACCGTAATCGCGTCGGACCGTACAGCGCAGTTTGAAATTTGAATAGTATTATAATCAAGTTGCAACAACTGTCCGCGATTATGACGAAATTATTATAACTATAGTATCGTTCGGTTGCCGAAATTCAACTCTAAATTACTAACTAAATTTTTGTGATTGTAAAATAAATATGCTTTATAATATTGTATTTCTGATCACACACGTGATATAGGTAGATTGGTATCGATGTTTGTGTTTCTTTTTTCATTTTATTCGTACGAGGTACGAACGAAATATACGGGAAAAATTCTTTTAGTATTAATTTAGTTTTTGATTCCATAAAGCTACAAACATATGCTTGTATATACGACCTATGCCTTTTGATGAATATTAGAACATTATCAAACAATAATACTAACTACTATTTTCTTTTATTAATTATTACACAAACTGGAAAGGTTACTGCTTTCAAATATTTAGTATTAGTGTATTACCATGTAATAATACCGATTTCGTAATGTAAAATTTTTAAATTTAATTTTACTGGACAGATAGCGTAACAGGTGTATTTTTATTTTCGTATTGTACCTGTCTTAAAATGACGCATGCGCTGTCTTCGTCTTACACACGTATGACATGACAAATTTTCGTTCACCAGTTTCAATAGTGTGTTCTCAGTTTTGATTTTAGAGTGAATTGACCCATCATTAGACCTTAAGAAGACAATCAGCTTTGTTTTCTAGTTGGATTTCACGATATTTGAATTTTTAAGCGAGCTATGAGTACTTATGTAAAATATTATTATTTGAAAATTACCATACATTTAAATATAATAGTATTGAATTTCATGTTGTGTCTGCAATATCACAAATTATGGACTGATACAATAATTATTGCTGTTTTGCACTCAACATATCACGATGATTAGTTATTGTTCAGTGCAAGAACGCCACAAATCGAAATAAGGCAGTGTTGAATTTTGACTTCGATAATTGATTGGACCGACAACTAAGACATATTAGTGGCAAGATGTCCGAAGGTGAACATAATGTTATGTGTGTTTTTTACGCATTTCACTATTTCATAAATAAAATAAAACATAATATTTTGATAATTAATAGAACGGCGATATGCATAGGCAATTTAGGTACATCAGTGTCATGGTTCCATTTTTCGACCTCATGTCTAATGAGGTGAAAAAAAAATCGGCCAACTAGTGACCGCTAATAATTTGAGGAGGAAACTTTGGCTGATGAACAATATGAACCATGTGTTATGTGACATGCTTTGTACTTAACAGCTAACCTCTTATTTTTTAGAATGTTTCATGTGATTTGCTGACCAAGAAAGTGTAGACCGCAGACGACGACTGGATAGTTGTATGTTCTTCTTTACAGCAAGCGTAGCGCAGAATTGACCCTGCACATTTCCATTCCAGTACAATGAGTACATTTATCGAATTATGTAGGTAAGTATATAAGTTTCTAAAGAAACATTGACCCAGACATTTATATATTATATTTAATCCAATACGTTATTTAAATACACATTATATTTGTTGGCAATATGAGTTGTGTATTTTAATTGAGTTAAGTTAGGTGCACACTTATTTTTTTGTTTTAAATTTAAAAATAAATTTAAACAAATTTTTAACACTCTACTCAAGGCCTTGCTCCCGTGGAACCCTTAATACCAATAAAAACCCTTCAAAATCATACACCCAAATTAACCAAAAACACGAATAATTTTGTTTTTATGATTTTAGTGTAATACATAATTTTGAATGTATTTATTGTAGTTAGTTCAATTTGTAGTTAAAGTTGTTGAACAAAAACAATACTATTAATAAGGAAAATTTTACAAGCAATAAATATTTTCTTGAAAATAAAATAAAATGAAATCGTTAAGTGATTCTGATTAAATAAGTCTTAAAATCAAATCGTTTCATACTACCATGTCTTATAATATACCTATATATTATATTGTATATAATTTATTAGGTTCTTTATTAGTATATAATATATATGTATATACAATAATTATAAAATAAGTTCAAATACAGCCAATAGCGTTATAAAATATAGACGTTGTCTTAACAAAACTGAACAACGTACTGACAGTCGAGACCAAATTCTAATAAGTAATAATACCTAGTTAAAACCTAAGCCAACTGCCCAAAGGGTATTATATAGTTATGAGTTATAATTATAATTTAGGAACGAATTCGTGGCTATATTTACCAGTTTTCTGGAAATCGCGAAATTATAATTTTTATTTTATTTTATTTTTCTATTTTATTATGTTTCGTAATAATGATAATAAAAGTATATTAATATGTATAATAAAAAAACAAACAGCACCCGGAACCCCAAAAAATGATTCGGGTGCAATGTGCAAAGCCTCGATTCTACTACATATTACTATCCTTGTAGATTGCGTAAAATAAAAGAATATAATCCAATTGAGTAATACATTTGAAAAGTCTGGCCAATTTAGTATTGTTACACTATAGACATAGTGTAATGTTTAGTGTTTACGTTGTCAACAAAATCAGTTCGTATTAGCCGTGAGATACTATTATATTATCCAGTCACTTATAATTATAATAAAACAAATTTGATTGATTTTGTACACCGATTATCCAATATTTGAACAAACTAAAAACGATTAAAAACCTGAAATAATTGTTTAAGTTGAAACGGTTTATTTAGCATTTTAAAAGTTATTATGGTATAGATTAAATGATCTGGAATGTTTGATGAACATGTATATTTGTGAAAATTTATCTGTACACAGCGATTTTCGGCCACAAGCTAGTCATAGCTTATAATATTACCAATACTTATGCAGATACTGTTTTAAAAATAAAAACTAATATTTGGTATTGAAAACCAAAAATGTTACCTCTGACGTTAAAAACAAACCGAGCTTAAAATATAATATTATGCAAAATTTTGTCTGTAGTGTTTACTAAAAAACTGATTTCGTCCAAGGTTCAAAGCGAAAAAAACCATCATGTAAATTGTAAGTCAACAATGTTCATAATTGATTTTAAGGCAGTTGAAAGCGGGTCGTTATTTCGTTTTTTCATTTAGACCAATATAAGCAGAAGAATAAAAAATACTTCCAGAAGTCCAATTATAGTTTTGAAAAAATATTTGAATTCCTTATTATTTCTCCTAGGTTATTTAGGATATAGACTTTCGATTTATTTTTTTTTTAGTTTCACTAAAATAAAAAGGAGAATTAAAAAAAAAAAATGAAAATACATTTGGTATTATACTAATTAAACAATACAAAAAAATCTAAAATCCATTTCCCATATAACCTAGGAAGGAAAGAGAATAAGGAATTAAAATATATCTTCAAAATTAAAATTGTTCTTTTTTTACCGGGTGAATTTTTCTTTCGTATTTTGGGACTTTCGTGTTGACACTTTTTTAATCGCAAAATGGACTGCGCATATTACGAACGTTACAGATTTCCAAGAATCTTAGCTGTAGTTCATCTTTATTTATATAAAGCGTCCGGGAAACTCACGCACACTAATGGTCAGTCACTACACACACAGTCGCACATCACTAGAACACTTTAAATACTTATCAAATTCTTTATTTGTTGAATTGTGTAGTTTGATCTCTTACCAGTATCAAACAACTGTTAGTACATATTTTTGGTCGTATACATGTGTATAATAATAGTGATTACATAAAAATGTAGTAAAAATTAAGTATATTGATAAACAATAAAAAAGTGCTGTGTCACTAGATATTCTTCCTCTGCAAGAAAAGTTGAGAAATCGTCGATATGTTTTCGGCGAGTGTGGTAGAAAAAAGTCTCGTTGCGTGTCACGTTTTGTTTGGAATTTCATTTTTGTTAATTTTTGTCCTGCGTTTCTATCTAATAAACAGAGTGTCACAAAATCGGCGTCTCAAAAATTGGCTAGAAATAAAGGCGGGAAGTACCCGGCCAAAAAACATAATATATGAATGTGTCAAAAAAAAATTTAAAAATCGTATTAAATAACTATATATTATTATAATATTACATCGTACGTACATAGTTTACAGCGTCAGAAATACAGTTTAATGCCACTTTCGGTGTATATACAAAATAGTCGCGGAATAAAAACATGCTTAACGCCTTATAATATTTTTCCGGTTTCACAGGACATGCGTACATAAGCATAATAGTAATAATAACAGTAGTATTATTATTATATAGAAATTGCCCAGTGAAAATATTTTCGACGCCAATAGACTAATGCCGTCATATAGTACTTTTACGGTTAAATTAAGGTTACACAATATATATAATAAAGTATAATACTATAATGTATATCTATTTATAATAATATGTTAATATTAGCTATTAGACATTTAATTCACTGTCATTTATCTATGGTATTCGCCTAACTATAAATAAGTACAAACAAACACATACAATTCTATAAAAAAAAAACATATTAATTGTAATAATATTACGAATTGTACACTATGTTTAAAAATCATAATATATTGATTTCGTTTTCTTTTCGACTAAATGAGCAAACAGTTTTCATCCTAACTACCTATATAATATTTTAAGACTCTATAATACATACTTAAATCATAATTTATTATAATATTGATTCGAATGACGATGTATGTTTTGCACTATATGTTCTCGTTGAAATTCATCGTGTTGTTGTTCACACATTACACGCGCCTATTGTTATAACATTACAATATTAACTATTTTACGCAAATAAACTATAAAATCGAAAAAATAATAACGACAATCTAAAATAATAATAAAAAATAAAATACAGTCAATGTGTAGTGGCTCGACACGTAAATAACAACGTGCGTCAGTGTTCGTATACTATTTATATGTGTCGTCTATAAATATTTATTATGTACACACACACATACACACACATATTTACTGTCATATATACCGTGTGTTCCTAAATTCATAAGATCGGTCAGCCGCTGGAGGGGAGGTAATCAAGCCGATTGACTTATCAGCAATCTGCTATTTTACGGATGGACTAAAATGAAACTCGATGGATTTGATAACAATATGCAAAAGTTTAGGAACACGCGGATTATAAGTAGTTACATTAAAAATGTATATAAGTCATTAACAATAATTGTGGGCTGCAGGTATATAATATGGATTTTGATCTGCGTTTATAGCTGTCTCATAAATGAAAATCTTATTATCCCGTCGACAGCAATAACTGTCTGATAGCGATACGTGATACGCGTAATATTAAACCAGTCGATTGAAATGGCACACGATTTGTAAAAAAATAAAAAATATCATTAAATGTTACGATGCCCGACCGACTTCGAAAACCCCAAAAACGAACCGAAGAGGATCGAGATGAATTTCATGCAGCGATCATATTATCATCATATAATATACACATAGTGACAATGAATCGTACGCGATAAACAATACGCATCATTATTATGAAATCATTGAAGTGATGGCTGGTGCTTATTATTTTAAACGCACATCGGATACTAAACGTATGAATATATGAACAATATGTGTGTGCCTAGTAAGTATAATGTATATAATATATATATATTATATATAAAAAGTTGTCGGATATATATTTACAAAAATGATTATTACTAAGTATTATATTATTATAAGACACGGAGACGCTGCTGGCGATCATTTCCTGGGGTTCGTGTTGTAGTCCACGTAAACCCTGACCACTTCGCCCGAGTACTTTCTCTGCGACGGCATAAAGTAAAAGTCCGGTTGGAGCTGATCGCCGGGCCCGCCGGCCGACTGCTGCTGGTGCGGCGGCCCGTGGTGCGCAGCGGACGTCCGGTTGGGCGGCCTTTGCGTGTAGTAACCGCCGTTGTGGTGTGGCGGCTGTTGCGCGGGCCTGGGCAGCGAGTAAGTGCCCGCCGCCCTGTCCTGGTGGAGCAGCTGCTGTTGGTGGCCGGGCGGTGGCGGAGGGCGGCTGTGCATGTGACGGCCGCCGTTGGCCGCTGCGGACGGCCTGTGCAACGACCGAGATTCCGCGTAATGGTTACCGCCGCCGCCGCCGCCGCCGCCGCCGCCGCCTCCGTTGTGCGACACCAACTTTGTGGTCAGCGGTATGGTGGACGTGTGGCTCAACGAGCTCGGCGACTGTTTCTCGTCGCCGCCGTCGTACTGATCGAACGCGTAGTTGGTGTTCGGTCCGCCGCCGCCGCCGCCGCCGCCTCCAGACGAATAGTCCTTCCAGGCGGAATTCACGCCGCCGTGATCCTGCGCACGCGCAAAAATAAAAATAATTATTGTAATAAGATTTCAAAAATGTATCGTTATTATTAACGAGTGTATTTCCAAGGGCTTTCCGACGTATAGATTAGCTGTTGATTATTATGCAATGCGATCTGCTGGCTTAACTGCAGTTCAGCGTACATTTTTCGTGGGTACCAAAACTCGTTTCCTTCCAAATGTGAAATTTGATATGGTTTTTTTGTCCCGTCGATATTATTCTCTATTTTATTTTTTTGTTCGATGTGAGGGTCCCAAACTTCGCAAGGACGTCACTATATCGGAAAGCCTTTGGTTTTTTGACCGATCATGGTCATAATTATGGTGATAATAAGCTTGAGAAGTCTACCATTTGCGCCCAAAACAACCTTTTTTTTAAAATAGGTGGGAATATTATGGAATGCAAACTGCCAAGGTCAATAGGTGACGATACGAAAAGGGTGAAAAACGAGTATTATGTGTAAATATTAAAAAATATTTATTAATAATTATGTCTATTAAGTCCTCAGCTGTTATATAATACCATTAATACCATATAGTTTTATTAAAGGTTGGTTTCAGCGCAAACAAAACCGCTCTCCGTGGTTTACCACTAATTAATTTTGTATACTACATATATACAGCAATATTATTAAAACAGTCACATTTCGCAACGACATAATAAGAATAATAATAAAATATTTACAAATACAACAAGATAAAATAATAATAATAAGTGTATAATAGCTGTACATTTTAATAATAGTGATAGTGTGAGTGTGTGTAGTGTTATAGTAGTGGTAGCAGTAATTTAGTAAGTGGCAATAATAATAATAATAATAAGGGCAGTGTGCAAGTGTTTTTTTTTGCTTAAGAAAAGAAAATCGTTCTACGGCGGAAAATCGTGTCCGCCTATATTTCTGTACAGCGCTGGGCACTACTTTTATTCACGTTTCGACCCACATTCGTAATCATAATAATAATATTATGGCAATAAATTCCACGTGAAGTCAATTTGTTTTTTATCGGTGCTGTAGGTATGGACAAATATGCGTATAATTACCATATTGCTATGAAAGCATAGACACATTTTTATCACACCGATTTGTATCATAATATTGTTGGCTTTTTGTGTGAAACGTGTAAAATGGAAGTAAATAATAATAATGATGTTGTACGTTCGAAAAGTTGGTACTGCTCGTACATTTCACCAGCATAGTGAGTAAAATAGTTATAATATTGCTATTATTATTACCTATTATGCAATGATTCGTCATTGAACCAACGAAATAGTAGTTTTAAATGTAAAATACCTATTAGTGTGTATTAAACTCAGTTATAATGTTGTTTCGGAAAAAAAACGACTTAGAGGCAGGTACGAAAAAAAAGCGATCAAAAGACTATAATAGGCACGTATATACGAAATTATGGTCTGTAAAGAATTCAGAGATCTAAATAAGGGGGATTTATTGAAAGACCTCAATAGAATGAAAAAAAATATATTAGTATAAAACGTGAGAAAACACCAGCTGCATAATATTGTATTATATCATGTGCGGGAGTCAAAGACAGAGTTAAATTAATGGTGGGGACGAATGACGAAGCAAAAACAAGTTAAAAACTTATATAGGTACATAGGTATTATTATATCAGCCGATTTATCGAAATATTATAAATTTGAAAGCACAATTATTACTACCAAATACGAAGCAAATATTATTAAAGTTGATAAAATAAGCGTATTACAATAATTATTAATGATTCGATATATGCTAATATGCTTTGCCCTATACAAGTACATCAATATTACGATAGATATCACCCAAGTGAATAAAGTTAGTAAGAAGACTAAAAAATAGAATAATAGCCATTATATAATATGATCATGCGTGAAATATCAAATGGTGATTCCTCTTATATCTCATAATTATTATTTTATCAGTTCAAAAGTAGGTACTCAATTATTTTTATTTCCACAATAACTAGCTGTGTCTAGGCATACTTATGTTGGCACATGGCCAAATCTTTAAGTTACATAATATGTGAAAATACATTTTTTTTTTAAGTCTATATGTAACCTGTTATTATATTTATATAATCATGTAGTTAAAAATAAACCCAAATAATTAAAAGTTTCACATTTAATTACCTAACATAAGTAGTTGATACTGAATAATGAAAATTAATCAAAAAATGAATTGGTTGGCTATTGCAGTATACCTATATTATTATCACACTATCGATTGTTAACTGTTATAAATGTATATCATTGATTAGATCAATATTTCTATTTCTCAAAATACGTGACATTGAAATATTCTAAATAATTTTATTTTTAAATCGAATCAGTGCGCAATATGTAAAAAATGTAAAATAATTGAATCCTACTTTGTTTTCGAAAGTATGATATTGTGAAAAACTGATAAAAAATATACAGTCTTCGTGACTTTAAAGTTAGGTATATAAGTTATAATATATAATAAGGATATCACGCAAAAAGAAAAGAGAGAGAGATAGAGACAAAGAAGAAGTATTGATCAGACTCACCAGGTAATATACTTATACTATATGCGTTATGTGTGTTTTATTGATGAATTTTTTTTTTTTTGATTTTCGATATATTTTTTAAATTTTGATTTTGATTAGTAACGATGTGTGACGTGTTCCGCTCGGATAGGCGCCCAATGACCAGTGGTGTACATATTGTAAGGGTCGACAGGCGGCCGATACCCGGCCTGAGCTCCAGTTGGGACCGAATAAACCAGCTATACAATTATAGTTATATACGATTACTGCAAGCTCGCCAAATGTTGACGAATACAACAATAATAAGCCTAATTATATTATTATATGACGAAGCTAACGACAATAAAGTAAAAGCTCTACGAAAGCCGTTAATATGGATGGACTACATAATATTATAATATAATATAAACATGATGATGATCTATAATAACAATAAAAATGTGTGTCGCCTTAAACTCAAAAATGCGTGACAACGACAGTGACAATAATTACCTTGTGATTTGGTCTGGGTCGTCGAGCTGTTTTGTAGATGGTGCATCCAGCTTGAACGATGGCGATGAACACCAAAGCGGAAATGCATCCTATAACGATCCATAACTTTGTCGTGGACAATAATATACTGTCATTGACGTGTTCCTCTAACGGAATTGTACTGGACACTGTACATCAAAACATATGAAATTACACATTATTAGTTGCATAAGGTAGAAAAGTCGTGATTTCGATCATGTACTATAAGTACCTAGAATCGAATGTATGAAATAAAATATACAGTGAGCAGATAAAGTTGGGATAGGGTAGGGGGTATAACCGATCGGCGCAACCCATTTGCGCCCGAACCCATTTATCGTAGCCCATTTGAGCTCCAAATCATAGCCCTATGTGCCCGATTCAGATCAGGTGAAAATCGTCTGCATAATGGGCACCATCTGGGCTATAAATCAGGGTGTTAAGTTTTTTTATTTCGGGCGCAAATGTAAATAACCCTCGGCGCAAATGGGCAACATCCTAACCGATTACTCGGTATTTTAAATAGCGAACTTCATAAATTAATCCATCAAATGATATGTCGTGTCATACACTCATACTATTTTATTGTCGAAAGCAAAACTTTATTATCGATAATTTTAAAATTTAAAATCAATAAAACTAACGAAATCTACTATATCATCACTTACGTGGTGCTGCTTCGAAAACAAAGTATTTAGGGTCCAAAGACAGGGCGCCTACGTGACCGCTGTTTACGGTACTCCTTAAGACACGCTCCAACTGTTCGGCACCCTCGTCAGTGCCCAATGCACGGCCACGCGATCCACCGCCACTCTCGTCTAACTCGACACTCATCTTGGCGACCACGTTTTCGTTCTCTCTGCAATAAAAATAAACACAAAATCACTCGATGAAATATAATATAACGCTAAGCCGGATAGTTAATTGGCCGATTCGGATACATAAATATCATTCGGTAAAAATAATACTTTGAGGTGCACGCAATGCACTCAAAGCACACTTGCGGTGCAATGTTTTAATATGATCAAATTATTCGTGTAAGCTCATAATATAGTGGAACTCACTCAAGACGCTGTTCAACTTTCAAGGGACCAGCTTAAAAAAGTGTCTTATGCGGAAAAGCGTCTAAGGCGAGTGTTACTGTTTATTACAGTAGGTATATCATTATATTATCGTACGTTATACCTAATGTACGTTAGATACATACTGAGAAAACTCATCGACGCTGATCTTGTAAAATTCGGGCAATTTAGTCAAGGTCTTCTTGAAACCGCTGGTGACAGTGTTGGCTAGGGCGTCAAAATCGGGACTTCCAGCCGGGGGCACAACAAAGTTTTCACCCAATTTCACCAACTTGATGGCCACGTTGAACGCCGCTTTCGGCGCAGTCGTGGTGGTGGCCAATTCCCAATCTTCTTCTGTAAACAAACGCCAAATCACACCCAAATCATAACCGTCATAAACATAACTGTGTAAGCGTTATAATATTTAGAATCCTTACCTGCGCCGCAGGATCTTATGCACACTCTGTCGTTGGAAAACATTGGCAATACTTCGTGTTTTTTGATTTTTTTGTTCACAGGATTGTAAATGCCTCCTTTGATGATGAACGTTAAGTACAAACACTTATCATCCGCAAACATCATATCCTGTTATTTAAAAGCAACGGTTAACCACGACACGTTTAAATGTTATGTTCATTTTGCTAGACATGATGTGACCTGCTAGGGCTGTCAATTTAATGCATTTATTCTATATTATGAATTTTTCTACTTTGTTGAAGGAATAATAAATTAAAACTTGCTACATATTATACATATATGGTACCTACATGAAATCCTGTTTTTAAATTTGCATAGTTTACATATAGGTTATGTTGACGGTTTTTTATAATATTATCATTCCAAAAATTAAATTATATTTTTCTTATTTTAAACTGTGTGTATTTATATATTGGGGATTTTTTGAGCGTATTTTGGCAAATTTTAGTTTGCTTATTTTTTTAGTATTAAACAGTTTTTTAATGCATTAAATCCACAGACCTAATTTTTTGTTGTATTCGCGTTTTTAACGATAAAATCGATAATGATAATAATAATTACCTTGGTATCGCCGGTCGATCGTTTCCTCATAAAGCTCAACGTTGTCAATCCTTCGGCGGTGTTACCGGTTATATTACTCAAGTCTTGTGAAGCATCCAACAGTGGAGCTGTATATCCGTTTATCCACGTGTCCATAAGGAACGGCCTTCCGGCTTTATCCACCCATCCAATTATTGCGTCTGTTTGACTCTAATGAGTAACAAAAACAAAAGTTACAACCAAAATTCAAATCATGAGGTGTCTATTTTCCTTAGATCATAATACTATGGGGCCATAGCATATCTCGGCTATGTAAACGATTTGAAACACATATTAGCGACGAGTCTCTCATGTTCGAATGTACTAGTGGCATATTTATCACATAGACAACGATTATAACTATATAGAACTTATATATACATAACTTTATAGAATAAATATGCGACGAGTACCTATACACATGCATGTGCACCGTGCAAATATCACGTCTGAACGAACGGCTCGTCGCTTATATGTGCTTCATTTTCAAAACCAATTATAAACAATATTTCAATTTTAATTTTTTTATTATAGTGTTCGCCACCAAACCAATAAATTGTTCCTTCCCAGTTTTCGAATGTATTTGATGTTCCGTATTTAAAAAAAAAATATTTTTGGGTTTTGAAAACATAGAGTCGATAATGTCAAACCATATATTTAGTGATATTTATACTACGATTAGTTGTTTGAATTAACTTCTAAATTCAAAATGTTTGCCTTCCATATCTGCGATGTTATTGATCTCGTTATACTCGTACCTATACACTATATGCAGTGTACATTACATATTATATCTTACCATTTTATGGTCGTCTGAAAACCCAATACCGGTCCAAGTACTGGTGTGCGTGGTGGTGATCGTGAATCGCATATAATCGGTCTTTGACGAATAAGTCCACACCACGTGGTACTCGCACTGACCAGCGGTCACGTTACAGCCTTTTGGGGTCGACCACTGACCGTAACAGTTGCTGGGCGCCGGCGCGGAAACCTGCTGGATGGATGGCTTGTTATTACGACTGGTCAATGGGTTGTCAGCGGTTTTCGTTGACTCTTGATCGTCGACCGATGGTTGTCGTCCGGGTTCATCTACGATAATAAAGTGCGTACCATTATAGTGAAAGCCAGATTATTGTTATTAAACATCTCGAAGACAAACGGTGTGAACAGTGAAAGAGTTTGTGTCCCCTTACCCGAACATAAACGTTTTAAAATGAAATATAAACAATTTAGGTGTATTATAAACGATGTACATAGGTATTCTTGATTAATAAAATGTTTGAGCTTAAAACGTGTATTTGATACCTGCCATTATAGCCATAAAGGTACGTGGTGACGGTGCATAAAATATATTAATGTTTTGGTAAATTTGTACGACTGTGTCACTTGTGTAAGCTGAAAGTCGTTAAAAATGGGCGCAAATCTCATCAGTAAACAATTTTGATACAAATATGATATATTTTTGCTATGCGTTGATTTACCGTTTTGAGTGAACTACACTGAACTCCAAAACCACAATACAAGAGAAATATAATTATAATTTGTATATTGTACATTGATGAGCGTACGGGAGCATAATCTCGAACAGACTCAATAATAATACAGGAAATAGGTATATTATGAGGAAAATTGAAAAGACTGTAAACAGATTGCTGGAACACAACATTGTAAATTAATAGGGGTATAGTGACAATACGATATAGTTGAGTATAATAATGCGCAATAGTGGAAATATGAATATATTTTTATGTGGTGAGTACTTGTAATATTGTTGATATTTTATTTTATAATATAAGATATATTAAATTATATTTCTATATTTCTGTTGAAAATCATTAACAAGAATAATATGTTTTAAAACAAATTTCAATATTATTGTATACATATAATACCTATACAGTATACATATAGTAGTTTTATGATTTAATATTCAAACTGCTTTTTTTTGTGTTTAAGAATCTCTGGTATTGAGGTTTAAGATATTTTAGTGAGAATCAATAAATTTATAAAAATATTCAATCCACCTTGAAAAATCTTTCACAACACTTCATTTTAGCATGAAGTACTCTATGGATAATTTCTGAACGAACCGTAAGTCAATGAGCGATTTTCAAGGTCTCTATAATTTCAAACTAGAGGTTTCTCTAAAGTTTCAATTCTATATTTTTATAATAACTATTGCATGAATAAAATGTGTTTTTGATGATATTTTTTAAAGATATAACAATTCTTTAATAATTCAGTAAATAAAAATCATGTGATAATTACCAAAAAAGTTAATAGAAATCACTCCACGCTGGGACCCGTGTCCGTGATATTTAAGTTCATCTTGCTTGTAAAAATCTTTTACAAAAGCAACATCTTTTTCCAGCCCAGATTTTGGCGAATGCTGATAATTTTTCTGTTCTTGACCCTTAGCCCAAATCACGTGCATTACATCATCTACGATGGAGTGATCAGTAGGTTCGGTGGCTATAAAAGGATAATAATATTAGATTAGAACCGAATGCAGTCGAGAAATAATATATATTTCCAAAAGTATAAAAATTTTAATTCACCTTTGAGTTTCTTTCTAAAAGCAATGGTCGTAACTCCATCTTTTTCGAACCCAACTTCAGCAATTAAATCATTCTTTCCACCCCAAAAGCCGTCTACACGTGGTGTCGACCTAATAAAAATATTGTAATATTTTAGTTGCAAGAAAAACTTAAAAATAAAACAAATTACCTGTCTCTAGTGTAATAGTCCCACACTCTGCTGGCCGATCCACGAGCACTTCCTATTACTAAATCTGTGCAATCCATCCCGTTGAAATCAGCTTTGGGCGTGTACGTATTGAGTTTCATTTCTAAAATATGAGTAATCATAATACTTAATGACAGTTATTAAACATTTGTTAAAAAAAAAAAAATAAAAATGATTGTTATACTTAGCGTAACTACATAGTAGTATATTTAGGTAAGTACATACTTTATTTATTTAATTATTAATTACAATTTAATTTCTTAATGTGGATTCATACAACATTATAAATAAACAGTATGTTGACATATTTACAATAATATTATAACATCTTAACATGTGATCGTTAACTTTAATTGTGTCAAATAAATATTTACCTTTTTTGGCAGGAGTTTCGTGTTGATGCTCATGATTATGGTCGTGAGTATGATGATCATGGTGATGATCGTGGTTGTGGTCGTGTTCATGTGATGAGTGGTCGTGTTCATGTGAAGAGTGATCGTGATGGTTATGGCCTTCTTGAACTTTCAGCCTTGGTTCTGGCTCTGATTCTGGTTGAGGTTCTAATCGATTTGTTATTTATTATAATATTTTGTATAAAAATTTATCAATTTTCCAAGATTTTGTAGACAACTTACCATTTGGAGTTGACGCTGATCTAGTATTTCGTAATTGGGCAAACACTGTAAGAAAATATATGAACGTGGATTATGAATTTTTTAATTGAAATGTAATGTTATTATTACTGGTATGAAAAAAGAATGGCAAATAACATTATAAGAATGAAACCATACTCAATAATTCTCAGTAGAAATATTTGTATTGTTATTTTACGTGATTAGTCATAAAAATGCTTTTTAGTTTTTACCAAATAGAAAAACGTGCTATTCGATACTTTGTCCGTTGCACGGAGAAACAGTGAATTATAGATATGTTTTTGAATTCTCGACGATTGTCTACGACGTGTTTATTATCGTGATAGGCTTTCTGACGTTCAGAGTTTGAAATCATAGTTACAAATTTCAGGTAATTGTATTTATTTAGCCGAGTTCTATTGCAAGTTGTAACTACTATATAACCACTTTAAAAGTGCATACAAAATTCGAATATGTAAAATTCAATTCATATGATTAAAAAATATGTATCAACGAGGTTGCTATGGTAACTTCATCATATTATAGCATTAAGTATTGGTTGTTAGGGATAATCAAGGTACTGTAACTCAAAATCAGACAGGAAAAACGTTGCACTCAGCCCAAAAAAATATCTTTGTAAATAAGTTTGAATGTAATTAATGACTGGAAATTATGTCTGAATTTAATTTTAACAAATAAGAAAGTTACCTGGCCTTCCGTTCGATCTTAATGGTGCACTGGCAGTTGATGCTGCAGCTTCCGGTTCTTCGGAAGGCTTTGGTTTTTGCAGTCTACCTCTGGTTCTGAAAAATGATGGTTTCGGCCGAGTGGAACTTGCAACTGTTGTTGTTGACAAAGTAGTAGGTTCTGGTGAAGGTTCTACCGTCGTTTCGGGCTCCGGTTCTGGTTCAGGTTTACTACTTGATTTCTGCCCTGGTGTTGGTTTTGGTTCTGGTTCACTCTTTGGTTCTGGTTCACTCTTTGGCTCTGGTTCACTTTTAGGTTCAGGTTCACTCTTAGGTTCTGGCTCACTTTTTGGTTCTGGCTCGCTCTTCGGTTCTGGCTCGCTCTTTGGTTCCGGCTCGCTCTTCGGTTCCGGTTCACTCTTTGGCTCTGGTTCGCTCTTTGGCTCTGGTTCACTTTTGGGTTCAGGCTCACTCTTCGGTTCAGGTTCGCTCTTTGGCTCTGGTTCACTTTTAGGTTCAGGCTCACTCTTGGGTTCGGGTTCACTCTTTGGTTCCGGTTCGCTTTTTGGTTCGGGCTCACCTACTGGTTCCGGTTCGGGTTCAGGTTTGGGTATTGCTGCTACAGCTTTCGCACCCGGTAAATCAGCTAGTGCTGGGAAATTCTTACACTCAGCAGTTAAATCTTTTGGTCTCCAACCTAACCCTAAGTAACTGGTACTGTTCGCTCTTAACACAACTTCTATCTCGCCTTCGTCTTTGAATATTTTCCAATATAAATGGAAGTCTTTTGAAAGTTCTCTGAATCTGTGATTGCTCAAATCGATTTCATTTGATTTCAACGACGAACCTGCAAAATAACAATAAATCGAATATTTAATTTTACATTTTTAAAATTTTGATTTCTAATATTGTAGCTCGTTGTTGATTATTTAATATATTTTGCGTTGCTTTCACTAAATATACATAAATGTCCATGCTGTAATAATATTGATAGACTTAAAGGAACTGTACATTATGCTACCTCCCAGAGTTAGAGTATATACAATGGACTCAATTTACACATGTTATATAAATATGATAATATTATATTTTGAAGGTTGAATAATGTTTTATACCCTTCATGTCAGTGTCAAAACTCAAAACCATAATATCTGCAGCTAACTATTCCGTTATTTAAAACCGTAACAACTGTGAAATTATTAACACTCTCCCATTACATACCTACTTGACGTATAGACATCGTTTCCCCAAATACCATTTAGAAAATAAACACAAAACATAATGTATTTTATAACTGATAACTCATTTATGATTTTTAACATATTTCTTACGTTTAGTGCACGCCGGTCCAAACCATCCGGGTTCGCAATAACACTGTTTCCTAGGAGCGGTCGTTGCATGGACATCAATGCACCTGCCTTGATCGCCACAATCGTTGTCTTCAACGCATTCATCTTTGTATTGACATCTGGGCCCGTAATAAAGTTTGTCGCACCGGCACTTCGATAATAAGTAACGGCCTTTGCCACTGCAGTCTTCTCGGTAATTTTTTTCTAACGAAATAGTGCAATTAGTTGTCAATTTGCTCGTACTAAGTATTTCGAATGCAATTAAAATAATACATCGGGTTTTAGAGAGTAGAAATTATCACAAATTATACAAAGATAGAATTTAACTAAAAATCAACGAATTTCTCAAACCTCGTGTCCATTTAAAAATCGTTTAAATTTATGCAAAAAAAAAAGATAATAATTTTTAAGTATAATCCGATTACGTCATTTATATATTTTATGTTTATATTAAATCAGTATAACTAACAATGTTTAAAATAAACTTACAAAATAGAATAGTATAATATTATTTTCACCAATAGCTTAAATGTTAAAATGTTGTTATTAAAAGTAATTTAAATCGTGGGTGTTAAATGTGTATTGTAACAATTTCAGTGAAATGGCGAACTGGTCTTTTAAAAGTTCAAGGAAAATGTATACTTTATAATTTGTGATAAATGTTTGCTCGGACGGACCCGAGAATCACTGACGACTACTGGTTTTGTGTACACCCTTAAATTACGGTTACGTTTAATAATTGTTATATGATAAAATATAAGTTAATAATTACTGTTTTTGATATCGACATCTGCGCATGACCAAAACCTGTAGCTATTGCCGAATTCTAATGCTTCTCTGAGTAACCTAATGGTACAATCTTCACAAACAAAATCTCCCGGTAACTGAACAGCGTACGATTGAGCTCTGTAAAAAATAAACCAACAACAACAATTAACGGGGATCGTCATCATAACGTGATAATATTAAATTATTATTATTATTTTATACCGAAAGTAATACAATAGATTATTGTTATGGATGTATTATTTCAAAATAATTATTGAGTACTTAAAAAAACAAAATGTGATGTAACGATTTTAGTCATAGTAGGTACATAGACTTTCTCTAGTCGAGTCAAATCAAATACCAATATCAACAATAACATTTACTAGTTAGGTATAATACTATCAATTTAAACGATCAATAAAAAATGTTAATTAAATAATTATTAGAATTATTTCGGTTTTTATACAACAGACTTCAAAAGTTACGTAAAAAATAATTTATATATGTAATCACTTATCGTTACTTACATATTATAGGTTAGGTTAGGTTAGACTTTACATAAAATATATAATACTACATTTAATTTGTATGCTCAAAATTAAAAATTAAATTTTATAATGTAGGCATTTCTGCTACTATAATTTATAATATAGGTACGACGCACTTATCTAATTGAAACAACGATTTGAATAGAAAGTAAATCTTTGGAGTTAAACTAAGTTCGGTTCGAAACCAAAATAATGGTGTAAATGATTACTATATTAGTACATTACATCTTATAAAATACTATCGACTTATATTTTAGTATAAACTATGAATAATAGATTTTATAATACCAATACATTTAATGCGAACCGCGATAACTATAATATACGCCATAGTGAATCGATAATTTCCAGATCAGTTAAAACGTACGCAGTACTATATCAAATTACAAATACGAAATAAGAACAGAAAACAATGAGATAATATAAAAAATATTACACCTAAACTACGTGCAAGAGAATAAAATAAGTAGGTAAGTAGGTAGTTTTTATAGGTATAAGTGGATAATTTAAATAACTTTTAATTATTCAATAAAAATAAAATCATCACGATTTTATTTAAATTTTTATGTTAAAAGGTTTGTGTTACGTAATTCTTCGAACGAACATTACTGTACAGCGAATCAAACGTCTATAATTATAACTCGATATTATAATATATTATTAGTTCAAATAATATTTGTCCATAATAAACGTTAGGTAATTTGTTACGTACTTATACACACTTGCGAATAAAATATTAACCCACTGATGGCACGACTGTAAGACTATAAATTCACAGCTCTAGCTGAGGGAGGGGGGGGGCTATGGAAATGTTAGCCCTCAATAATATTGGAGATCACCACACTAATTATTAATTATTATAGATGCGAAAATAATTCGGTCAAAACATACATTACGGTAAGTACCTAGTATGAACATTAATTTGCTTTCGTTTATCAAATCTCATGCCAAGTCGATGCCATATAATATGATGCATTAAACTGTATACTGTAACCAATATATATGTATTGATAAATTTATAATAGCAAATTAATCAACTCATGGGGTAGAAGTAGAACTGTGGATATACTGGATAGACGGGTAATTCTACATACAATTATGGTTTGGAAGTATGTTTTATTTACTATTATATGGTTTCTATCAAGATTTAAAATGTATAATTAAGTATGTGAAAGTATTAGAAATTCATATTTTAATTTCGAATAAGTGAAATATATATTCGTACTTAAGGTATGGTATGATTTACTATAATATCAGTTACCTGCCTATAATTATTACACGATTGTAATTAATTTTCAAAATTTCGACTACACATAACGATAGAACGAATATGTTGTTTAAGAATGAACAATGAACATGTCAAAGTTTGAATATTTCACATCTGTGATTTTTTTGATTGCTAAAATTACGTTGAAACGGCGATCAAAATATATTATATTCAAGCCTTTAAGGTTTGGATGTAAGAGTTTTTACAGAAAATTAAATAAAATATATTTTGTTGAAAGTATGACTGACTCACTATCGTAACTGTCAATAAATTGTTGTGTTTTGTCCTTATCGTTCCATAAAAACCAATAGTGTCACTAAAGATTGTGCATCATGATTATTTATTCATAATACTTTTGTGTTATAATAGTTTAGAAATAAAATGTAGTATTTTTGCCCAGAATTATATAATACAGTATACTGCACATTGATATTATAATTTATATTATTCTTGTACAAATAGTATATAGAATTACTATCTATCCGGTAGTTTCTACCGTGTCGTTACTAGTCCATGTTTTCAAGAGTATTTACTCTATTTTTGAGCCGGAAGACGATTGTTGATAACGACATCAACAATAAATATTTGTATCTAAAATATTTTTTTGGTTGTTCGGTCAACATTAACTAAACCAAATACACATAAATAAGTATAGGTTTACGAGTATTTATACTATAGTATAATATATATTAATTAAAATAATAATATAAACAAAAAATTAGGTATCAGTATACTAATGTTTGAATCAAAAAATCAACTTAGTGGAGCAGAGAATAGTAAAAAAGATTGAAAACATGAACAATTTTACATTAAAACTTGTAAAATTACGTAATTCCTCCTAATTAATTTCCATAATTGTTTTTGTAAATTAATTTAATGTTATAAAAATACTTAGATTCTTAGAAAAATTGAATAACTAATCAGTTATTTATTGTATTAAGTTATTTTAAAATTAAAGGATATATTTTTTAAATTCAGTTGTTTGATTAATAAAAACAAATTTACCTATTTATAGTCTATACCTTCTTTTCTTATGATTTTAATATTTATATTCATGCAGAATTGGACTTTTAAATTCTATTGTTTTTTGAAAACAATTATATGATATATAATGTGGTGTATTACCATACAAAAAATAGTAAATTTAAAAATACAAGTTAGTTTTGTTGCATTATACTTATAAGTTATAAGTAATATCTTACGTAAGTATTAAAGAACATATTATAAAGTAATCAAACTATTAAATACTATTTAAAAACAGGTTTAACATTTTAGTATTTTATTTTAGATTTAATGACAGTAATTTTATTGATTAATTGTATATAATAATAATTAATATGTATAATTTGTCAACGGTGATATTACTGATATTATTTCTTCACATTTAACAGTAAGTAGGTATAATTTATAAAGGTACAATGTATTTTGTTCCAATTATGGTGGCCCACAACTTTGCATCGTCGGCTATACTGGTAGAAGACTTAACCCTGGACTCTGTTATACTTGATATCTACTTGGTTATTTATACTTAATTTTAGTTTGATTAAACGACAACTGTTATTTATTTATATTGTTTCCTTCCCAGGAACTCGTCTACTGAAAATTGTTTATTTTATCGATTGATCTCTTTATTCATATTATACATATTTCTGAGTGTAAATTAATTAAAACAAAATAAGTCGTTTACATGGAACTGTAGAAATTGGTGATGATTTGAAAATTGAATTTGTAATGCCATAACATTGACCATGGAAATTCATCGCCATAATTAATTCCTATGTAGCTCTTATTGTATTATGATTATTGACATGCAAGTGTACTTATTACTTGCTAAAATTGATTAAAATTTCTAGTTGTTTGCTGTTTTGATTTTTGTATAAATGTCAATACAATAAGATAATATAGCAATTATTAGTTAACGAAGTTAATAATTATTATTATGTATATTAATTTGAGTACTTCTGTGTTACTGTGTTAGTAAAAAATCAAATGTTTCAAGTAATAATCAGAAATGAAAATTTTAAACTTCTTCATCAAAGATTAGTTTTTTCTACGAGTCTGTCTTATATTATTGTATTGTAATATATTATTGTAATATAAAGGAGTAATAAAAATATATTATGCCCTAAGCTATGTGGCGAGTCTTGTACATCACGACCAATTTGTTTACGAGAAGAGGGCGTATTGTACACTTATGATATCAAACTCGATCATGTTATAATATTATACGTATTTAAATCATAGAAATGTATTATTATTTTACTATATAGATTTCCTTGTTGCCACCATACACTATACACATATACTGCAAGGATAACATGGTACACATCACGATTGTTGATATCATTATGACATTTATATGACAAGTATTTATGATTCATATTTCGTCAAACTGATTAAAGATATTCAGTATTAAATGATTTAAATGTAAATAACGAGTACCTACCTATGACAGATCATAGACGTATAATGACCATAATAATATTGATATCGTGATGAAATAAATCTACATTTGGAATTGTCTTTTAGTAACGCAATTTATACAATATATTATGTTTGCACATAGTATAGATTATTTAATTAGGTATATTTTTTTTTTTTTTTTTGGTACCATTTTCATTTTAAAGTAGTTGTACCTTCTTGTCTTGCTATAACAACTGTTTTGTTTAGATTACACACGTATATTTATATTATTAAATATTTTATGTATAAAAATACTGTGATACATTTAACATGAAAGAAACAATATATAGGTACATAATTTGTACTTTTATATCTGAACACCGTTTTAATGGCATTTATTTTATTTATATGTATACAATTTTAATAATATTGCCATTAAAACATATTTCGACATGGTTTTCTTCTACAACACTCCAACACGAATTATTTCGCCACAAAAACGTCAACTATAATTTATAATAATTTATTAGGTGTAATTATTTCTAAACGCAATTCACTTCCTATAACGGCCGTTACATAGTAAAATTGACTTTTCTACTTCAGAGAATCGTTGGAATAAAACACCGCGGTACGAATAAAAAGTAATAATAATTTATGTTTTACAATATTATTTTAAAATCATATTTCCAGTAAATCATTATAGATTTCTGGAAATTTGGTTTTTTTTATAAATTTTTACTTCAATATTATAAAAAAAAACTATAAGATTAACAATCAAATATATCGGCGTCTCGATCGTGTAATATGAAGTAGGTACAAAAGTTATGTTACTTTTTTATTACTGTAAAATGAAGTTGATAAAAAAAAAACTATTTATTATTTCTCGTTAATGACAGCACAAGAAAATAACAATTGCGGTACGAGTACACTCTCTAATGTGATAATGAAATAAATAAAGATAACTATGTAATTAATAAATACGACGACAGCTACTACTCACCCAATAGAATGAGGTTTATTTGGTTTTAGAAATTATAATTCGATTTTACGATTTTAAGCTGTTTTTGTTGAAATGTAATTGTTATTTTAAAATGAAAACGTAATTTAATTAGCTGTAAATATGTATTGAGTTTAAATTAATATTTACTTAAATCGCGGTAACCTGTATAGAGCTGTTAATTGAATCCATTAAAAAACTGCTCAACACGCGATCACGCTATTTGTGTATGTACCTATCTAGTTATGTATAATAAATGCCAAATGGCATAAATTATTTTAAATAATATTATAAAATAATAATAATTATGAATAAAGTATAGAATAAACCTTTATCAACGCAACATTTGTTTTTATTCTTAATAAGTGATTACTAATACAATTGTATATATTATTTAAAATACATTTTGCTCTTTTATAAAAATAAATAGCAGGTAAATTAACCTAACCTGCCACCTGTGTAATCGTTTTGTTTATATATTGTAATTGTTTATAGATTTTTTTTCGACACACTCTGTTGGCAACAGTACCAATCTAAGAACAATTTATCTACAGAAAGGAAAATCAAATTATTATTGATTTCAATATTTACCAATAAAAAGTAACGGTGCAAAATAGTCAAGAAAACCAACGAAAACTTTGAATTATTAGAATTAGCGAAATATACCGTTTGTAAAAAGACAATTTAAAGAAAACATAATATTTATTAATAATATGCGTTCAAAACAAAAAATATGCTTAATACATTCTCGCGCACTCACAAACAGTAATGTAAATCAAATTAACATAACTGATTTGTTTTTGGTCTGGATTTTTTTCTCAATCGATTTTCGTAACGCTTTGTTTATTGCCACAGAAACACAAATCAACAATTAAAAGTATGGTAACAAAATGTAGCATGCTACTAGATATTTTTTTTCTTCCGTACTATACCCAAAAATATACTTACCTATAATTCCTCAATTTTCCTTGTAGAAGAAAAATATCTAATAGCATGCTACTTATAATATATGCGAACAATATTTTTTTACCGGATTCTTTCTATAAAGTAACAAAAAAACACGAGAGTGCGTTTACAATTCACAGCTCTGATCAAAATATGAAAAATAGTTCATGTGCTAAAACAATTTTTAAATAATATTATAACAATAATGATGTAAGTACCTACTCGTCTTGCAGAAGATGTATTGTTTGTAATAAGATTATTTTTAACTTTAGTTTGATCGATCGGAGATTGAAATCTAAATAGATAAATCTAAATCTAAGTATCTCAAATTAAACAGGATTTTTCAAAAATATAAATTAACAGATTTTTAATTTCATCATTGATGGAATGTTATTGTAGTGTATAGGAAGTTTTTTGCAAACTTCCTGGACCTGTACTCTCATCATCGCATAGGGTAATTTTATAGCATTCGTTTTGAAACGCGAAAGTAGCTAGTCTATTAATTTTATATATATTCCCATAGTCATGCATTACGGACAAGACGCTTTAAGGTTATTATTTAATATTATCATTGCGCAGATTTTGCCTTGACATCTTTAACTCGGTCCGAAATCGTGAACAGTGGGAACGGCCGTCGTTATAGCACACGCTTATATTATATTATTGACCGCCATCGAGGAGCGCTGTTCATGAGCAGGAGTTTAACTCTCCTTCTCAGTGAGCAGTTTTCCCACCGAAAATTAAATTCACAAGCATTTAACTCGACATGTTATTATGGCAGGAGAGTAGGTATAATCAAAGAAAGCACGTTTTATTATTATACATATGTTTATATAAAATATATTCGGCCCGCGTGCCCCCCGCCCATCAATTCACTCGGCCGAGATCCATTCTTGTGTCAATCAATAATAAAATTGGTTGACGTGATAATGCAACGCGGACCTACGTGTATTTTCGTTTTTTTTTTTCAATAGTCGAGGCGTAAACATGTATCAACAACGAGATTAAAATATGACTATAGTGACTCGGTAAGAAAAATAGCGAATTTGTTTCTCTTTGTGTGTGATATAAGTCTAGCCAATCGTCTATAAGTGTTATCATAACTAAATATCGAAAATACAATATACATAAAACATTATGATAACTATACTACATAGTACATAACATATTATAGAAATCAGATCAAAATAAATTCAGTACATATTTTAAATTTAATGTGACGAAAGCATAGTACCTACCTCTATACCTACCTACCTTTGTTATGCTTGTAATATTATTTACAATAAAATCAAATATATAATAAACACTGTTATTTGTAAATTGTATACACATTGAAAAAATCATCAAGCCTCTTGGGATTCTGTTCAAAAGTTTGTTTAGGCTGCAGTGATTAATTATTATAGCTAATGAAACGTAATCACAGATGTGTGCCGTAAATACCTATTTATAAAAAATATATGCAATAGAGTACAATAAATGTATGAGGAATCTAGGTTTTATTTTAAATCAACCAGTTTCGATACGTGTGCTTATTATACACATATTATTTAACTATAGTTAATTTAATTTTTTTTTCTGATAATAATGTGAAAAGTTTACATTAGAGTATTAATAGAAATATACGAATGTTATTTTAACTAAATATTAAACATAATATTAATCTGTTGTATAACGTTTTTATAAGTCACGATAATAATTTTAAAAAATATTAGTGTTTTTATAATGATTTTTCCGTACAATGGAATACTGGAATGAATTAAGATCACAGTTCATACAATTGAAACAACATTACTTTTAACTATTTACATAGATAATTCAGGAAAAGTGCCTACAGTAGTCAGTAAGTACCTACTCGGGACCTAAGTAGTACCTATAATACTGATATTTATTAATAAAAGTAACAATATTTCTAGCTAGTTATTTTCTGGTTAAGTGTTTACATCGCTATCGATCAATTCATGTAATGAACCGTACAAACAAACAACTAAATTGTCAATAAAAAGGAATAATAATATTATGATGACGGAAAGTAAAAGTAAACGACGCGTATTCGTCTATTCTAATGGCCAGTAGTTTAAAAAAATAACGGAAATACAATTTTGTAGGAACAGTACCTACTACTTTGTATCAAATTTATAATAAAATATACTTATATAATATAGGTACTATCACTGTGAAAAAAGTAAATGTCATATTATTTGTAATGTATTATATTATCTGCCCGATCGTACCGATACCTATACCTGAAAAATCAATATCGGGAAACGAAATATATTTGCTGCAGTTATAATGATTATAATAATATTTTTACAACGCAATACGTCTTGGAATAATTTTCGTAATTTTATAATACAACAAAAACATACATCGTAGTTAAAACGGTCATGATATGGATAACTACCGATTATAGTTTTTTATTTTGTAAATTGTATACCTACCTATAAATTATTTTAAATCTATTAAAAAAATATAAATGATTAAAATACGAGTATTGATGGAGGGGGAGGGGAGATACTATATGATTGTGTTATAAAATAATCACTCAGTATAACTTAGAAGAAAAAGTCGCCTTAGGATACGAATATTGAATTCTCACTATGTCTAATGGTTTTTTTTGGCGTTATCATTGTTAAGTTCTAGTATCAGGCCCAACCTATACCGCTACAACAGAGATCAACGTTGGCGTGAAACGTCTACTTTCTAAACAAGCTGTGCAACAACTACTTTTACATGTGTAATTATGAATATTTAAAAACTATTTAGAATATTATGTATTTTATAATAGTATAAAGTAGCAATTAATTATAATTTTATTTTGCGGGTCTGAAAATATTAATATCTATATAATACAACTACCCATAGATAGCATGAAATATTAATAATTACTCAGTCAAATTTTAAGCTAAGATTTTATTTTTTTAATAGAAAATTAAAACAAACTATAAAAGTGCATTGAGTGATTACAATTATTTTTATATTTATTTAATTTACATATTTTTCTAATAAATTTATGGGTGGCGTTATTTAATGTTCGAGATTCGCAACAAAAACGCTTTCTTTATCACCTTAATTAATAATACGCATCACTAAATCACTACCGCTCTTCGACGAAGAGTCCATAAAAGTTTCACACAAATTATGATACCTCCTCCTTGTATAGAGTTACACTACTGAAATTAAATCACATTTATAGTGACTATGATGTTATAACTTTCATTATTCGAGTAACAAATATACAATTGTAGCTATATTTTTTTATTTTTCTGTACTAACCCTATAATTTTTTAAAACACAAAATGAACGGCAGCCACAAAATAAAATATTATATATTTTTAAGTTTCATTAAATCGGTTACTTAAAAAAAAAATAGCTAATATCATAACATTTTATTTTTAGTTGCACAATCTTAAAAAATGAAAACTTTAAAATTAGTCTGAGTTGGTTGACCACAAATCATTGAACAACAAAGTACTGACTTTAACTAAAAATGCGGTGTTATAATATAACACATCAAATTTGTATACTATAATATATTGACTTCCGCATATTTCGAGAAAGCGATACTGAAGTAAATAAATTAGTTATTTACATTAAAAAAAAATTATCCAAAAACATATTTAAATGTTATTACAATATTGTAATTTAAGATGACAATAATAATAACAACAATAATACCAGTAGTACATTTTATCCTAACGTTATTTAATTAGATTAATAGAGTTGTAGGTACTCACGTTGCATCGGTCCTCAAAAAATCAGAATCTTTTGTGGCTGGTGTTAAATCCAGTACAGGTCTTTGGTAATTGTCCAGTACTTGAAGTTTAATTCCTCCCTATGTAAACAATAACAAACAATGAATAACCTCATATCATTTAAAACAAAACTCTAATAATGTGATCTAATTAAAAATGCCACGATGCAGCTTTAAAATAATTAAGAGAAAATCCCTCGATTTATAGAAATAATTGGTCAATCGGCAAGTAAAAGTGGAATATACACTTGCGAACCTTACAAGTATAAGCCTAGGTACGTGGTATAAATCTGTGCATATATGTGTTTAAGTGTGGCGCTTCGATTCGAGTCAGTGACCTTATACACTCTAGTGATTCCTAGTGCTCTCGAAACTCCACCAAAGATTGTACCGACAGGAATTCTCGGAGAAAGTAATGAAAAACGTACGAGGTTGGTAAAAAACTGGAGAATATATCTAAAAGCCGTTAAGCGACTGCCGCTATTATGAAGAAATAACTCAAGGCAATAGACGCGAAAGTTACGTAGGTACACTTTATAATAATATTGGATCTATATTTTAAAAAAAATTTTTAATCGCGAAATTCTGTTGATCTGGTTTGAACAGCTTCTGCTGCTGCAGATTAAACGAGTTTACATATGTACCTAAGAGTAGGACGCGATGAGAGACCATTTTTATATATGTCCTGACGTCATATAACATATCAGGTATCAGACATCATGCAGACCGTATACAGAGCTATAGGGTTCTGTGGGTTCAACCCCCCTCCACCACCCCTGAAATGTTAACGATTATATTTGTATTATAACTTTTGATTTATATTGATTAATGTGTATAATGTTATGCAATCCCGTTAAAACTTCGATTATAACTTCACCAACCACCAGTGATTTTCTGTGCGTGTACCCGCCAGACACGTTTATGCGTTTGTATTTTTATAAATAAGTTAATTTGTTGACCATACATCTTGACTGTGTTGAAATGAGCTATAAAAATGACTTTTGTTAAATGAATCAAATGAATAGTAATACATAGGTAGTATTGTACTGAATTATACGAATAGTATAGTATGCAATAAAATTGGACTGAAATTCGTGAAGTTAATTCGTGAACCACAAAAAATTGTAGGTATACGTGACAAAAGAAGACCACGTCAAAAGAATTCGAATATAATATAATAGGCATAACAATGCTACGACACTATAATATAATATAGAATCGTTTAAAAAATACAATTGACGATTTATTTGGAAGTTTTTACTGCCGGTATGACGTATAAAAAGACTATCAAATTGCGCAACGATCTATTATTGTATATTTGTTATTGTGACTCTACCCTTACACAAATGATTAATTAATAATACTATAATGTGCCTACAATCACCCTGTATGCACAGAAAATCGTGCAGCTCCGGCTGAGGCTGGGTCAAATTTATATTATTATTACACTATATATATAAACAAGGAGTGCGGGTTATGTGTACCACGACGATCACAAGTAATATAGTAATAATTCGCGATGGTGATTAATAATAAATATTGTCGTCAGGGGATCCTCGTCGAGATTGCACAACAACCTGCAACTATTGTGATGTTTTCGGTCACACGCTGCAGCAGCAGACTTTTCGTCGACACTTCGGGTCGTGATCTCGGGCCGTATTCTTCTGAAGCTATAGCGCGAATTTTATTACAGAGTTTAAACTTACCCGGTGAGGATACGCCAGATGCCATGTGACGTTGAATGACGAACCAGACATCAACGAAGTCTTGACTGAGCCTGCGAATAAAATAAAAATGAAAACGGTTAAGTTAGTATATTATTATAATATTACGTGATTCGTACGACCTGCTACGGACAAAGACCTATACACGAACAATCGAAATTTTATTGTTGAACAACTACACACACACACACACACACACAACAAAATATATTTTATAACTTTTCGAGTACATTTATCTAACTCTATTGCTTGTATTTAAAGGGATCGAGGGAACATTGAGAAATTACATATGTACGACAGTAGACGATATTTCAATTTACTGCAGCAGTTCGACGACGGCATATACAGGGTGTTTGTGTTCATACATGCCCGCCCACAGCACACCTGTTACATTTGTGCTCACCTACTCCTCTAACAACCTCCTATCTAAACTTAACACCTATGGGTGTATTTGAATACTTAAAGAAAATATAGGTAATTCAACTTTTAAAATATATAGATAGGTACATATAATTATATAGCTACATTTGTTATTATTTATACATACAATTATATACCTACATTTGCTAGCCATGTTATCAACAATATGGTCAAGAAACGCGTAAATAGCAGTTTTCATTTTTAAGATTTAGGTTTTTTTTTGGTTCAGTTGAACCAAACATTATATATTTTAATAATTGTGGATTCTTAAAAATATGTAGCAGTAATAATTTTCCTGAATCATATTTCATAAACTGAAACCCTCAGTATAATAAAAAGACCACCGTCATTCGTTAGTCGTAACGACAAAACAATATTTTAATATCTTGTAGTCAAAAATATTACAAGACATGTATAAATATGTATGTACCATAAAATTAATAAACAATAATGACGAGCTGTAATACGCATACCGTAAAAAAAAAAAAAATAACAGTAACGTCAAATTTCGAATTCGACCCTCGAGCTTTCTTCCGGAGGTATTCGTTGTTCCTGGTCTAGAAAATTTGAGTTATTTGGGCTACAAGATTTGAAAACATCGCAAAAATATTTTTACTTTACGTGCTTTGAATAATGGAAAACTATGATTTTGAAAGCCGATCATCGAATACTGGGGCATACCGGACCCGAAAGTCGCGTGGATTAATGGCGACCAGCAATAAAACAACAGTGTTTTGGCCAATAGGTCTGTTTCAAAATTCTTGGCCACAGCCGCGTATGTCGTATACGGTACCTACGTAGTAAGTGCGAAATTGAATGACGTTCGACACTCTCGTAATAACAATAACAGCCAGTGAGCATGTCTCTGGCACGCCACGGAATGCCGATTTTATAGGTCGTCGCGTGCCCGTCGGTCCACGCGGTATACATAAAAATAATAATAATACGATATTATTGCATTTATAACGCGCGTATAACATTATATTCGTTGTGGTTAGACGCTATATATGCATTATGATATGGAGTGTCGTATTATAGTATAATGCGCACACCGGAGGAGACCTACTGACCTTTTATAATATTTCCGTCGCCCACTGAACGTGCGTAAGTTTTCACGTCATGTACCTAAGCATATTATATAGGTGTAAGTGTGTGCGGGCATGCAGCGCGCAAGTATTCCATTGTGCGCGAACGGTTTCGGAACAAAAGCTGAAGAAATGAAGTAAAACGCCAATCTTCTATAGGGTAACGCGTGACGTAATACTACCGTCGAAATAATACCGCCGCCGTCGTAGGTTGTATAATAACGATGATGATAATAATAATAATAGTTATCTTTGAAATCAGTATTGTTTTAAACCTCGACGGTTTTTCAACTCGGAGACCAGAGCACTATAATAATAATATGACGTATAATAGTTTCGACACCACCAGCATCACGCTACGGCGGCGGACGTTTACTGCGCGAATAATTCGAAATGATAATAATTAAATATCCGCATATTATTATCATATCTTATTTATAACTCAGAGGAATTGTAAAGTTATTATTTATAGCAGCAAACTGCAACAAACGCGTAGTTAATATACTGTAATAGTATTTTTTATTTTATTTTATGTTTTGTTTATTGTGACCTAATTACACGATATCACTGATCTGAAACTAAAATATTAATGAAATATAATATTTATTAAATTCTGATGTCATACCAAAATCGGCACGTGATCCAAATACATTACACAGAGACCTCAGAACCACGTTGTAGTTAACACCATTACAGTTATTTACAAAATCCGTTTCAAATAAAATGCATTAAAATTTCAAAAGCATATATTATTTCTTTTTACATTCTTTAAGTAAGTCGCCGCAACTCACAAGACGCGATGCATACACAGTCGCACAGATGTAGGTATAAGATAGGTATGTCTATAGGTATAATATAATACGCATCGTATATACCTGTAGTGTCCTTCAGAGTTCAGATAACACGCCATTATACTATCATAACCACGATAAACTTACACTCAGAACAAGCTCATTTTTTACAGGCGTAGGTATCTACCTGTAGAACACGTCTTGTTAACAGCGCACAATTCTCCCTTTTTTAAAACTCATAGATATATATATTTTATTTTTTTTAAGAATAAACGTCTAGATCATTTACAGGTGCAGGTTACATATTATTGTACACACACTTTGCAGTGGAAATGTGTGGTTCGCGTAGGCAACATGTTTCCCGAGCAATGTATGCGATTTCAAGGTTGGAGGAAAGAGGAGGCGTTTTAGGTGCAATAACTAAAACGCCTATTGCACCGCGCATAAGTATGAACGATAAAAAAAAAATGCTTACGCATGAACCAACTATGTAAGACACAACAAGCTGTTAAAATGCAACATATTTACCTATTACAGGCACGTTAAAATAATTAGGTATACTAATATTATAAAAATAAACTGTACCTATACGTTTTTTAAGTGAAAAAAATTATAAGTGTACAACAAGTGTATAGTTACAACTTTATAACTATAAGTAGGTACATTATATTGAATATTTTATATTAGAGTGCTATTGGCCATTAGCTGAATAGAATTAACATATAAGTTAACATTTTAACTTAAATAATATTGCGCACATATATAAACTACAGTTCATTAATTAAATTAGACTTAATAATAAAAGTTATCATACATTTTATTAGAGTATTATTATAGTACATTTAAATTAGTTTGTATCGTATTTTTAAACTGTTCATTTTGACTTTAAAGTAAAAATTAATGGATTAGATATAGCCTTATCTTATTTTATTTTATTTTATTATACCTTTCTAACGAATTTATCTTTATTTGGCCTGGGACTTATCCATTATCCAAATTTAAAAACTCCTAGCAAAAATACTACACTAACCACTCAGTTTGCAAAATAAAATAGACTTTGAAATAAATCTTTATAACGAAATATCATTTTTTTAAAGAAATACACTTATAAAAATATCATACGTTGTTTCGCATAATAATAGATGAATGAATGAGTTTGTTTGCAAATAAATTATATGTAGATAATAGTTCAGATAATGAATAAAAGTGAAAGTTGGAGATGCAATATAGACGAATAGACTATTAAAATAATTTAGCAAGAACAAAAGTAGTCTTATTTGTAATTAAAACTATAAATATTTCATGCCACAACTGAATTGATTAGCAGGAACCTAAAGATTTATNGCCGCACACACGTACGTAAATACCTTCCTTTATATCCTGAAAGATGAACGTGCTTATTAACGGATACGTTTACCGAATGAAATTATCATAATTAACGTTATGCAACGTGGACGTGACTCCGAAACGGAAATATATATTTTGATCCACACCAGTCGATTGCAATTTAAATACATAAAATAGCGTTTGTGCTTTCACGAATATCGCGTTTAGTTGTTTGTATCGTGTATGAGTAGAGAAGTACAAGTATAATATAGAATTATACGATAGATTGGATACCTACTACCTAGGTATTTAGTATATACGCAACAACTTCATATAAGTTGTTTCTCGCGTAGTTAAGCTACCTACCAAGGTACCTAAATGTGGTTTTATAAGTACAAATTATCTGGCAAACCAATGAGCTTGATTCTTGAATGATAAACTTCATGATTTAGAATACCTCATACAGTTATATATTATATTAAGCTAACATCGAAATAAACATATAGTATGCAGACATGCAGCCATGCAGTGTATAATATCATGAAAGGTGATTCTTAAATCTTGCATATTATATACGTGGCTGTTACTGAACGGTTTAGTTTAGAACATCAAAACCACATATTTTATGATAATTTTAAAACATAACATACTTGTATTATAACGTATGGCGATTCGGTCTGAAAAATTTAGAACCATATGACTGAAAGTGGTCATAAACTTTCATATTTTTAGTTTGCTGTGCATGGATGTTAATTAAAATGAAAAGACTATTAGAACGTACATAGGTAAAGTTTTTAGTGTTTTGACAATTAATTGATAGCAATTATTAAAGCAATTACATACAACATTACAACGTACTATTTAGATTTATTACGAAAATTCTAGATGTAAAAAATGTATTATTCTTTTTATTACTCTTGATAATGCGAATTTTGATCATAGAGAAATAAGTCATACCTACATGCTACATTGCTACATGTGTAATGAGTATAATACCATATTATACATAGAACGTCAATCGAAGATTTTTTTCTTCAATTGATCGCATTTATTTTTAATTGCGAAACACGTCTTATAGTGTAATGTACAATAGTAAAGTCGACTTTGAAAAATGAAAAAAACAGCGTTTGACTATGGGACGGATGAGTTGCCACGTAACAAACCACATGCGTATCCTCGTCGTAGGCTTTCGATATGTTGTGTTGCGTAAAAAAAATATAGGTAGGAACCAACAAGCGCGTTTTATAATTTATACACGCGCCAAGCTAGAAAAGGAATCCACGTGAGGAGTACACATAAATATATAAGCGCCACGTAATATAATATATGCCCGTTTCGAAACGGTTATTATTAAATAATAATATATTTTACAATAATATTATGGCGGGACGACGATGGAACGCGTTTGGAAACTCAAGTAAAAAATTAAAA